GCTTTTTATTTCAACCATTAGGACTAAATTGTAAAGTTGGGGATGCCAAATTAAAAGTGAATTCCTGTCTAACTTGGTATCTCTACAGATGTTAGCCTTTACAAAACTGCACTCCTACCTTATCCACTCCTCAAATTCTGTATTACCAAGAGTGTGTCATTGACCTCTAACCCACCCCAAAACCCACTGTGTGACCTTGAAGAATGTAGGATCTATACTATGATAGCCCAATAGGTGTCAAAAGGACAGCGACGCAAGTAAGACGAAACAAATAATTTTGACCTATGTATTACGCACCCTGTTATACATGAAGTTAACATAATATGGTCTTAAGGGAAAATCCTCTGACAAGGCATAAGGCTGAATTACCTCTTTGCCTAGGAGAAATATCTCCTCAGAAAGGACTCTGGTTTGTTGTTTTTTTTTCAAGTCAGGTTTTGTCTATGTATTCATCTGGCGTCCTTCTTAACTATATAGATGGTTTTATATATTGCAATAGAACTCTATAGGTACCTTGGTATTAGTGGGATATCAGCAAGAGCCTCTTCTAGTATGTATAAAAGAAGCTCTAAACCAAGAAACAGTAGTTTAGTGTTTAGGAACTCCAGGAAGATATACCAACATTTTATCAGCTGATAAAAATATACCAGCTGGTATATTTTTAAAAATAAAACTTCCTAGGTGTAGTAGATGTATATAACTTTGAACTGTCTAGATGAAAACACTTTGAATACCTTTAGTAAGGATAATAATGTACCCTTTCTGAAGAAAAAAATCCTTTGATATACTTTTATCCTTTCCCTCCTATTGTTGCATCATTGGAAGCGAGAACAGAAATGGAAGGTAGTTTTTAAATCCCACACAGTCCTGGGTTTGTTCCTTCCAAACTGTCAAATTGTCCTGCTGTCGTGGTTTAAACCCAGTCAGGTAACTTGTTCACTCACTCCCAGTGAGTGGTGCCGAGCTGACAACAATCGAGGTCCGTGTTCCCCCCCCCCCCCCCCACCGGGGTTCTCCCCCACTCCCGGAGGAACGGGGAGGAGGATCGAAAAAGTGCAACTCCCACGGGTTGAGACAAGAACAGTCCAGCAACCAATGTACAACACAAATCACCACCGCTACTATCAACTATAACAATGATAAGGGAAAATAACAAGGGAAGAGAATACGATACCACCAGCCAAGAAAACGAGTTCCACCCGGAAGCCCATGCCCTTCCGGGTAACTCCCAGTCACCCCCCACCCCGGGCATGACGTGCTGTGGTATGGAATACCTCCCTGGCTAGCCCGGGTCAGGCGCCCCGTCTCTGCTTCCTCCCGGCTTCCCCTCTTCCCTGGCAGAGCATGAGCCTCACAAAGTCCTTGGTCAGGGTAAACATCACTTAGCAACAACTGAAAACATTGACTTCACCAACACTGTTCTCAGGCTGGAAGTCAAAACACAGCACTGTACCAGCTACCACAAAGGAAAAGAAAAACATGACTGCTACTGCTGAACCGAGGACATTATCCACCCCTTATTCCATACCATTCACGTCATGCTCAGATCCCACATTTTCAATATACCATCACTCTTATCTTAGTGCATGGACCAGTCCCTATAAAGCTGCTGAGTCCATCTGGTCCATGATGTCAGGCTCCATCTCTTGTAACAGTCTTCCAGAGCAGGAGAGACTGTGTGCAGTGTTTACGCTCGTGAATAACCTGGGCAATAGTGTCCATTGCTAAGTCCACCCCTCGATCATGAGTCCATCTCTATGTGGCATCTCTGCTCTGATGGCCTGAGGTGTCATGTACCCACCAGGCTTAAAATAATTCACTGTCCCCTTAAGCAGTTTCTGCAGCTTGCTGCTGGGGACTCCATACAGCTGCCTTCCATCTCCGACGCTTCCAAAGCACTGGAGGGGCCCAGTGGACTAGATAGTTGCCCATACTGTCCCACACACCCTGCCACTCATGACTGTCCAGCCTTGGGGAAAATCTCTTGGTCCCCCTATATCCTCGTCTAACCCCAGACAAGACCCAAACCTGACTCTGTTTAACTTCTGAGATCAGACAAAATGGTGGTGGGTAGCACACAGCCTGTATGTGTGCCAACACGCTGATCCCCATCACAATCAGCAGGCAGGTCGCAAGGATACCCAAAGGCCATTCAAAACCTTCAGAACTCTCAAACGATGCTGCTGTACTTGTCACTGGGGCTGGTGTAGCTGCTGTGCTTGCCGGCTCTCCCACCGCCAGCTTCTCTTTTCCTGAGTCCAGCTCTTCCTCCTCTGCCTTGCTGGGAAATGCTGCGTGGTCTCCTGCATCCTCCTGGGGCTCGGCGGGCGGCTTCCGGGGAATGCTCTCGGCCGTCGCGGGGCTGGGCTCTGCCGCGGGGCTCGGCTCCTCCGCGGGGCTCGGCTGTTCCGCGGGGCTCGGCTGTTCCGCGGGGCTCGGCTCCTCCGCCGCCTTCTCCCGCTGCTCGGCAGCCCCTTCCTTCTGCTCCTCGATCTCCCCGACCTCCTTCACCGGCAGCCGTCCCCCGGCCGCGCTCCCGCCGCCGCTTGGTCCCCGGGGCCGCTCTCCCGTGCTGCTTCGGCTGCCGCCTGCTCCCGGGGCCGCTCCCCCTCGGCTCCCCGCAGCCTCACGAAGATGGAGAGTAGGGCGAGGGCCAGGCCGGTGAAGAGCAGCCGGACGGCCAGGTACAAGTCCACGGCCACATCCGTCCCGCCCTGCTGCTGGAGCCCACCCATGTTACAAGCCATTGCCATAAAGCACAGTGAGACAAGATCCTTAGCCCAAGCCCCACACTTGATAAACACTAACACAGCAAATACCGGCTCTAAGTAAGTTACAACATTCTGAAGCTGTGAGATCACGAAGAACAACTCTGAGAGCCAATAAATCAGCATTGTGACGAGTGACTATTAATCCGGTCAGATCTGTCGTTATCTCACCCCTTCGAGCCCCACGCTGGGCGCCAAAAAGAACTGTCGTGGTTTAAACCCAGTCAGGTAACTTGTTCACTCACTCCCAGTGAGTGGTGCTGAGCTGACAACAATCGAGGTCCGTGTTTCCCCCCCCCACCGGGGTTCTCCCCCACTCCCGGAGGAACGGGGAGGAGGATCAAAAATGTGCAACTCCCACGGGTTGAGACAAGAACAGTCCAGCAACCAATGTACACAAATCACCACTGCTACTATCAACGACAACAATGATAAGGGAAAATAACAAGGGAAGAGAATACGATACCACCGGCCAAGAAAACGAGTTCCACCCGGAAGCCCGTGCCCTTCCGGGTAACTCCCAGTCACCCCCCCACCCCGGGCATGACGTGCTGTGGTATGGAATACCTCCCTGGCTAGCCCGGGTCAGGCGCCCCGTCTCTGCTTCCTCCCGGCTTCCCCTCCTCCCTGGCAGAGCATGAGCCTCACAAAGTCCTTGGTCAGGGTAAACATCACTTAGCAACAACCGAAAACATCGGTTTCACCAATGCTGTTCCCAGGCTGGAAGTCAAAACACAGCACTTTACCAGCTACCATAAAGGAAAAAAAAACATGACTGCTACTGCTGAACCCAGGACACCTGCGTTCAGTTACTTGTCTCGTTTTCTGTAGCTGATGCAGTGCTGTGTGTTTGGCTTTATTTTGAGAACAGTGCTGATAACACACCAATGGTTTTAGTTGTTGCCAAGTAGTGTTTACCCTGATCAAGGACTTTTCCATCTCTCAAACTCTGCCAGTAAGGAGGGGCACAAGAAGCCATGAGGGAGCAGAGACAGGACACCTGACCCAAACTAGCCAAAGGGGTGTTCCATACCACAGCACGTCATGCCCAATATATAAACTAGAGAGAGTTACTTGGAAGGCCCAGATTGCTGCTCAGGTTGGGCTGGGTATCGGTTGGCTGGTGGTGAGCAATTGTATTGTGCATCACTTGGGTGTTTTTTTCCTTCCCTTTTTAGCTTTATATTCTCTCTCCTTGTTATTTCCCTTATCATCATTATTATTAGTGGTCGTAATAATAGTTTGGTATGGTACCTCAGTTATTGGACTGTTCTCATCTCAACCCATGGGTTTTACATTCTTTCGATTCTCCTTCCCACCCCATCAGGAGCAGGGGGGGAGGAAGAAGGGAAAGAGCGAGAGAGCGGCTGCATGGTTCTGAGTTACCAGCAGAGCTTAAACCACAACACAAATATTCCCTGGCTTTCCTATTAGTGGTGTAGGGCACTGACTTTGTGATCAAGATCGGATGTTTTGCTTCAGAGAGAGAGAGAGGGGCTTATTATTTTCTGACAGCTAGCAGAATTACTGCTGTAGCTTGAGGGGCTGAGAGTGACAGACTCATTCCTGTGTCTGCCCCATGATATTTAAGCTATCTATGTAGTTTCCTGCACTTTGTTACAGAAAAAAACACTGTGAAATGGTGTTGCAAGTCCTAAATGCTGAATAATAACTTTTCTAGCAAATTACGTAATGCTAACAGGGTGTTGTAGCAGTCCCCCACTGATGTCTAACCTGTGCCAACAAAGAACAGGAATGCTAGCAATTGATAGTTATGTGAGGTGTTCCTTTAGCTCAGGTGTTAATGACTGAATGTTGTTTTTTTTTGTTGTTGAAAGTCAAATAGGTGATTCCTGCTGAGCCCAATACAGGTATGCATACAGTGAGCAGCTACTCACTTGCTGTACTAGACATCTTTTTACATTCTGTACTCTTTGCATATATGCAATAGATGTTAGAGAAACATAGACCCCTTACAGCAGCAGGCAAGACCCTTTCCTGCATCAGGGGCATACTCAGTACAGGAAGGTGGGTGATCTATGTGAATCAGCAGAATCTCCAGCCTGACTTGGACTGGTTACTAATCATCTTTGCTTTGAATCTTAAAAAGGACTTAGGCTCAACAATGCCATATGAATGTGTAAGAATTCAGAACCTATACAGGTTGTCTGGGTTGCAAGGTTACAGTGAAGATGTGCCTGAAGATGTGCCTGTGCTGTGTATCTCAGAGAGATGTGAGCATGAGCTGGGTAGTGCAGTAACATGGCAAGTGGCTAACTATCTAAAGGAATTCAACACAGCCATAATACTAAAGAAGTCTTCTGAATTACGAGTGGCCAGTGCAGTTACTGAGGGCCATCCCAAGTACAGGAGATGATGAGTTTTGTCCTGTTAAAGCTACTCCCAAGAAAGTGCCCCCTTCCATTGATCAATCTGGAGGTTATCTCCAGAGAACTGAGATGATTTCAGTCATTTCTTCGTAAAGCATAGCTACCAAAGGAAGAAAACACATTAGAGACCTATCCTTCTTCTACTGACCTCTTTACAGTATCTTAATAAGTCAATCACTCAGGCACAGAAAACAATAATTTTCATTTTCTGCTTTAGGATTTTAAAACTTTATTTGTTCCCCACACTCTAAGGAAAAGGCTCTATGGTCAATGGTGAAAAAATGACCAAATACCCTCCATACACACAAGATTTGCTTCAAAATTACTATCCAAATAAATGGGCCAGAGGGACTCTACAGGCAACATGGTGTTCAGTGCTTCTGGCAGAATTATTGATGGGTCACACAGTAGTTGAATGAGAGTTCTTTTTTTCTGTGTTGTAATAAAGAGCAGAATAAAATTCAGTAGCACATCTATCCTTTTAAATAAAAGAATGCATTACTTCTGAAAATGTGTTATTCCCTATGTCCATATGTATAGGAAGCAAGTTCTATATTTGCATTTCAGATATGACTGAAGTGATTCCTGTGTGTACTATCTTCAACATGCCCACACCAGTATGCACAAGTGCATGCAGATGTAGTAAAGATGTTTTAAAATAAGAGGCATATTACTAATGTATTGCTAGTAACAACATTGTCTCCTAATGTCATTTGTGTAGTGCTCATGTTTAAACCATGCCTTTAGTTTTCTGTTACGATGAAACTACATGGCTGTTTAAATACAAAATGGCACAGTGTTAATGCTCAGCACTATCTATCAAAATGTGCCGAGGCATGTTTAGCTGTAAGTGCCTAAGTACTGTACTTAATAATTGTAATGTGCTACCCAGAGTTTAATCAAAGCTAAAATCTTGAATGTGGACTCTGATTTTGATTAGTGGCACTTACACACTGGGGCAGAGACATTTTGTATTAAATGATCTGTATTTTAACTCCATTTGGCATAAAGGTAGAATCTTTTTTCCTGGCATGAAAACTTGTAAATCATATAAGTAGTGATTATATTTGTTGCTTTAATGAAGTAAAAGTGGATTTCTGACTAATGCAGTGGAAAGTATACAATAGAGTCCTGCCATCTGTCCTGGGTTCAGCAGTAGCAGTCATTTTTCCCCTTCTTGGTAGCTGGTGCAGTGTAATGTTTTGACTTTCAGCTCGGGAACGGAGCTGATAACAAGCGATGTTTTGGTTTGGCCAAGGACTTTGTGAGCCTCATGCTCTGCCAGGGAGGAGGGGAAGCCAGGAGGAAGCAGAGACAGGACACCTGACCCAAACTGACCAAAGAGGTATTCCATACCACAGCACGTCATGCCCAGGATGTAACTGGGAGTTAGCCGGAAGGGCCGGGGGACTGCAGGGTTGGAGGAGGTATCGGTCAGAGCTTGGTCGGGCTTGGGGGGGCGAGTTATCGGTCGGCTGGTGGTGAGATGATGTATTCTCTTCCCTTGTTATTTCCTTTATCATTATTATCATTGGTGGTAGCAGTAGTGATTTGTGTTATACCTTAGTTACTAAACTGTTCTTATCTCAACCCGTGGGAGTTGCATTCTTTTCGATTCTCCTCTCCGTCCCTCCGAGAGCAGGGGGAGGGCAAGAAAAGGGGGGGAAGTGAGCGAACGAATTACCTGACTGGGTTTAAACCACGACAGTTCTTTTTGGCGCCCAACGTGGGGCACGAAGGGTTGAGATAACGACAGATCTGACCGGATTAATAGTCACTCGTCACAATGCTGATTTATTGGGTCTCAGAGTTGTTTTGCTTGATCTCACAGCTTCAGAATGTTGTAACTTACATAGAGCCGGTATTTGCTGTGTTAGTGTTTATCAAGTATGGGGCCTGGGCTAAGGTTCTTGTCTCACTGTGCTTTATGGCAATGGCTTGTAATACGGGCGGGCTCCAGCAGCAGGGCGGGACGGACGTGGCCGTGGACTTGTACCTGGCCGTCCGGCTGCTCTTCACCGTCCTGGCCCTCACCCTACTCTCCATCTTCGTGGGGCTGCGGGGAGCCGAGGGGGAGCGGCCCCGGGAGCCGGCGGCAGCCGAAGCGGCCCGGGAGAGCGGCCCCGGGGACCAAGCGGCGGCGGGAGCGGGGCCGGAGGCCGCGAGGGGACGGCTGCGGGTGGAGGAGGTCGGGGCGGTCGAGGAGCGGAAGGAAGCGGCTGCCGAGCAGCGGGAGAAGGCGGCGGAGGAGCCGAGCCCCGCGGAGGAGCCGAGCCCCGCGGCCGAGCCCAGCCCCGCGACGGCCGAGAGCGTTTCCCGGAAGCCGCCCGCCGAGCCCCAGGAGGATGCAGGAGACCGCGCAGCATTTCCCAGCAAGGCAGAGGAGGAAGAGCTGGACTCAGGAAAAGGGAAGCTGGCGGTGGGAGAGCCGGCAAGCACAGCGGCTACACCAGCCCCAGTGGCAAGCACAGCAGCTGCACCAGCCCCAGTGACAAGTACAGCAGCTACACCAGCCCCAGTGACAAGTACAGCAGCATCAGTTGAGAGTTCTGAAGGTTTTGAATGGCCTTTGGGTGTCCTTGGTACCTGCCTGCTGATTGTGATGGGGATCAGCATGTTGGCACACACACAGGCTGTGTTCTACCCACGACCATTTTGTCTGATCTCAAAAGTTAAGCAGAGTCAGGTTTGGGTCTTGTCTGGGGTTAGACAACGATATGGGGGGACCAAGAGATTTTCCCCAAGGCTGGACAGTCATGAGTGGCAGGGTGTGTGGGACAGTATGGGCAACTATCTAGTCCACTGGGCCCCTCCAGTGCTTTGGAAGCGTCGGAGATGGAAGGCAGCTGTATGGAGTCCCCAGCAACAAGCTGCAGAAACTGCTTAAGGGGACAGTGAATTATTTTGAGCCTGGTGGACCCATGGCACTTCAGGCCATCAGAGCAGAGATGCAACATAGATATGGACTCATGATCGAGGGGTGGACTTAGCAATGGACACTATTGCCCAGGTTATTCACGAGCGTGAACACTGCACACAGTCTCTCCTGCTCTGGAAGACTGTTACAAGAGATGGAGCCTGACATCATGGACCAGATGGACACAGCAGCTTTATAGGGACTGGTCCATGCACTAAGTTAAGAGTGCACCGAGATAAGAGTGATGGTATATTGAAATGTGGGATCTGAGCATGACGTGAATGGTATGGAATAAGGGGTGGATAATGTCCTGGGTTCAGCAGTAGCAGTCATTTTTCCCCTTCTTGGTAGCTGGTGCAGTGTAATGTTTTGACTTTCAGCTCGGGAACGGAGCTGATAACAAGCGATGTTTTGGTTTGGCCAAGGACTTTGTGAGCCTCATGCTCTGCCAGGGAGGAGGGGAAGCCAGGAGGAAGCAGAGACAGGACACCTGACCCAAACTGACCAAAGAGGTACATACCACAGCACGTCATGCCCAGGATGTAACTGGGAGTTAGCCGGAAGGGCCGGGGGACTGCAGGGTTGGAGGAGGTATCAGTCAGAGCTTGGTCGGGCTTGGGGGGGCGAGTTATCGGTCGGCTGGTGGTGAGATGATGTATTCTCTTCCCTTGTTATTTCCTTTATCATTATTATCATTGGTGGTAGCAGTAGTGATTTGTGTTATACCTTAGTTACTAAACTGTTCTTATCTCAACCCGTGGGAGTTGCATTCTTTTCGATTCTCCTCTCCGTCCCTCCGAGAGCAGGGGGAGGGCAAGAAAAGGGGGGGAAGTGAGCGAACGAATTACCTGACTGGGTTTAAACCACGACACCATCATAAATCACTTTTGGTGAATGCAACAGTTTTTTATTGAATGTCACCTGAGTTAGAAGCAAAATCAAATCAAATCACACAGCTGCAGTGTATATCAGAAAACTACAGGGAGTTAATACACTTACATATTTGCTCTCCATGCATGCCTAAATTAAATATTAACAGTTTGCATGAAGATGTGTTGCATTGCAGCCAGTTAAAATGATTTTATGCCAGAAAGTCCTGATACCTGGTCAATAGAGACTGGCTGGAGTTCGTAGTTAAAAAAGCAAACTGTATCCTGTCAGCTAAAGAATACATGGATAGTGGCTTTCCATATAGAAACTGGGATCCAGTTTTGAAAATATGATGAATTTTTCTCACAGTTAAATTGCTTCTTTTGGCAAGAAAGTTCTGAACTTTTAAATATTTTTTTTCATGTTGTTTACATTAATACCCACAAAGCAAAACTGCTGCAGTGGGTATTGCTGAAGCCATTTCTGCTTCCTTTGTATCTCAAGTTCAGAGTCTGCTATCTCATTATTATGTTTGTTGAGCAAATTCTAAAATACAAGAATATTTTTCTTCTTTTGATGTGATGGAACCTGGCAGAAGGATACATTGCTCAGAGTTGTAGAAGGATGGGTCTTAAATGTCTTTTTACCTATAAAGCCAGTAGCAGTTCTGTGAAAACCCTGATGCAGTCATGAGGCAAAAGCTAAAAAAACACTGTTTCTTCTGATAGCCTTTTTTCCTTTGAGAAAAATAAATGGACGTTTAGTGTTCAATCCTTTCAAGGAAAAGGGTCATTATTACCTTTTCTTCCCCCCTTTACCTTCTTTTAAGTTGTAAGTAATTGATGCAAATTCTCAAAAAAGTGTGTTTCTTATAAAATTTTAGTGCTTCTGGCTTGAAATTACCTGAAATCTCTTGTGCCCACTTGGACTCAGAACTCCAGAAGAGATTATCCCTTTAGTAAGATAGATGAGCAGATGTGTGTGACTGATTTATATCCTCCTCAATCTTAAGGTTAGTTCATACACCAAATTAGAGAATACAGCACCTCACCACCCGCCGACAGATAACTCGCCCCACCCTGCCCGACCGAGCACCGACTGATACCTCGTCCAACCCCGCAGTGGACCAGTGTAAGCGGCGAGGAGAAGTAAGACACGCCAACCCAATATGGGTGATAAGCAAACTTCTACTTTATTTGTGGCGCACTTCGCTTATATCCACATGGTGTTTAGCCACGCCTACTAGGCACAACAGTATTGGTTAGTTCTACACAGCTTCCTTCACATTCTTCTCCCACATCCGGTATCCGGTTACCTGTGAGGCCTACCCCTTGCCTTGCTCGCACAAGGCCTCTAAGGATCCATGGCCTTGATCTTAGAGCCATTCTGCAACAGACCAGCCCTTCTGGGTAACTCCCAGTTCTAAATCCTGGGCATGACGTGCTGTGGTATGGAATACCTCTTTTGGCTAGTTTGGGTCAGGTGTCCTGTCCCTGCTTCCTCCCGGCTTTCCCTCCTCCCTGGCAGAGCATGAGGCCCAGAAAGTCATTGGCCAGACCAAATATTTGAGCAGTAACTAAAACCATCGATGCTATCAGCACCATTCCCAAGCCGAAAGTCAAAAACACAGCGCTGCACCAGCTATCAAGCAGGAGAAAAAATGACTGCTGCTGCTGAATGCAGGACAGTAACAATAAGCCACAGAATGGGAAACCTCAGAGCAAA